TTGGGGGGGGGGGGGGGGGGGACAGACACAGCTTTGTGTCTTTGCCACCCCCCAAAACACAACAGGTAGCAGAGCTATCCACCAACAGAAGAAAGAGCTTTCTACATGGCACCATTGCATCCAATGTCTTTATGACACCAGCCAATTCATGAAGTGTAAAGAATTTAAAAAAATATATTTTTTTAAAAAATTTGAATACTTTCTCAGATCAATCCTCTTCCAGTTCTCTAGAAAAAAAATTGAATAGTAAGTAAACTAATTTTAGTCATCAATTGTTTTCCCCTACCACCACTAATCTGTGTACTTTGCTTAATTAAAACATGAGAAAAACACGTCCCATATTTGCAGTTGAGGAATGTTCCCAACAGGTTTGTGTGATCTACAAGCAATTAATTGTTTCCTGCAGCATTTGAGTATGCAACATCTATCTGAGGGAGCCCAAATGAGGATTCCCGTCAAATTTGCAAGTTACATATGCCGAACGTTGCTTGTTATGATGACACCTGTACAACAAATGATGACTTAAGCCCCAATCCTGCCTCTGTCATGCTGTTTAAGTTCCAAATATAATCTGATGTTTGGGTCAGAAAAGACCCAAGCCAAAGGTAGGCCAAGGCTGATGTTCTGCAGAACTGATATTACTTTTTTACATTCTCGTTCTCCTAGAAGCTAATGACAGTGTGCAAGTGCTGATTTCAGACACAAAACAGTATTAACTCACATAATCAGAGCTTCCCATTCAAAGAAGTTCTCTTCATTCATGGGACCTGGAAAGAAAAAACAAAGCAATGCTTAGTGCTTACCCAAACGCAAGGCTACAACTTCACCTGCCCAAACCCTGCTCGGCTCCTCACCTGCTACTATCCCTTCCGGGGGGTTCAGGGTCAGCTCTGGGAAAACAAAAACACAGGAAGGTTAATAAAACCTGCAAGCCCGAGCATTTTGGCTAGTGTCTGGCTGGCCACAGCTTACAACAGGGGCCCCACAAGCAAACACCCTTGGAGAAAAGCTTGAGGACACCATGGGAGGAACCTTCTGGCCATGCTTTTCTGGGGAAAACCACATCCAGAAGGCCCAGTGTCTCATCGCTGACAATTTAAATTCTTTGTGGAAGATAGTTTTCTAGGCAAAATTATTTCGCGTTTTGTGCTTTTTTAGGCTCCCAAAACTAGACTTCCCAGGGGCAACAATTTAAAACCGAGAAGGAATTACAAAAAACCCCATTCCACAAAGCACTGGAAACCCTCTCCTCTTGGAGCGCTGGGGTATCTGCAGATACAAACTCAACAGCCCAAAGAGAAAAATCAGTCAAATTCCTGTAACCACTCAGCACCAATTCAGACTTGACAGCATCTCAATGCAATGCCCAAAATGACACAAAAAGGTGAAGCAGCAGAAGCAAGAGATATTTGACAAGCAGCTTTGTTCCTTGAGCTCGATCCAGCTCCCCCTGCCTGGCCCGGAAAACACGAGTTGAAAAAGCAGCAGCAATAAAGCGGCCGTGCTTGTTTGGATCCATCAATGCTTGCTTTCTGTAGGAAACTGGTACAGTTCCCAATTGGTACAATAACCTTCAGGATCAGCACCTCGCTTCAAGCCCGTTGAAACCCAGCACTCAGTGTGCTGATAAAATAAACCCTAGGGGGCTCAACACCAGTCCCCCCAGTTCTGAGTGAGATGGGGGGTGGCCGGCAGGACCAGCAGCAGGAGGCAACACTCCAAGGGCGTCAGACCGGAGAAGGTGACAGTAATTAGGCCAACTTAAGTAAGGGCTGTGAGCTGCTTATCTAGAACAGCGTTTCCTCACCGATGGCCTGTGGGCTGCTAGTAGTCCGTCACACACGGAGCACAGACACAGGGAACACCAGGCACGTTCCCCCCCACAAAAACAGGACCCAGGGAATACAGTAGTCACAAACTGATAAACAAGATGCTTGACCTGATTTCTGTTAGGCTGTACGTGAAAACCAAGGGTAGTGCTGCACAAAACAGCACACAGATTTTTGCCTTAGAACAGCTATGTTACTGTGGGATTCAAAACTGTGCTGAGATACGCCAACAGCAAAGACAGCAGAACTCCTCAGTTGGCTCAGATGGCCAGTAACTTCGGCCCAGGCCCCGGGGACTGAAGTTCCAAAGCACAGCAGCACATTCAAACTCAGCATCAAGGTTTCCCACGACGACCGGACACTAAGGAGCAGGTTTTTCCAGCTTGATAGTGGGTCTCTAACAGCTTTTCTTGTTGACGTTTTTAGACAGGAAGAGGGAGATGTCAGACCCAGGAGCTCCCAGAGTAATTTTGCTCCATCTTGTGGCTCTCTCCAAGAACAAAATCCCCTCTGATATTTCCCACGATTTCCCTTGAAAAGCCCAGTGGCAGCCTCTGAGTGTCCCCTGCAGTGGGCAGCTCCACAGAAGTGTGCTGTACTGCTCTCCACCCCCAAGGAAAAACGGGGCAGCGGGAAGTAAGAGCCAAACCCCGCCGAGCAGAGGGTCTTTATGAGGTTGGAGGTTCAATTCTCCACTTCACCATGCTCAGCTCCCCCCCTGGAGACAGGTGAGAAGAGGCTTCCATCCTTAAGGATCAGGCAAAGTGCAGGGACACGTGAGCTTTGATTCTGAGCTGCTGCTGCTACACCTGATCACTGAGGAAGGAAAAACCCCTTTTCCCTGCAGGGAAATTGGGAGCACAGCTTTTGGGAACAACACAGCATGAACCGCCAGTAGCTGACACAACATTAGCCACTTCAGTCTTAACCACAGCCTCCAAAATAGGGTCACTTTAATGGAACTTCAGGGGGATTTTTTCCAATTATTTTTAAGTGAGCTGCAGAAAGCATGTCATCAGAGCATTTGCTTTTACTTTTCACTGCAGAATTACTTTGACAAGCCAGCTAGGCCAAAGAGTCTCCCACCCAACTCTCCCCTCCCTCTGCGGCTGTCCTCCCGAGCAAGACACGTGGCACACCAGGCGCATGTCAGCAGATGGAACAGCCCACCCTCTGCTCTCCATGGCATCCAGCCAGGGTGGAACTGCTGGCTAGCCTGAGTTTGGCCTCCTGAACTGCAAGACCCTCCCAGATGCACAGTTTAATGCTTTCCCATAGAAAGCTCTTCCCCTCTGCAAGTGCCACGCCACAGCGTCCTCTCGCCTGCCCACCCGTGACAGCACAGCCCAGCCACCACCACCCACCAGCCCCAAACACCGACATGCTGTGGTGTTCCTGGGCGCTATTTCCCAGTGATAGCTGAGCCCCCTGCCCATGCCGAGCATGGACAGCATCCAACACCGGGCTCTGACAGGGAAACGCAGACCCTGAAGCTATACCAGCTACTTGAGAGAGGCAGTTTGCACAAACTGAGAGCCACCTCCCTCAACCTCCTTTCTCCAAGGGTCAAGGTCAGCAGAACGACTTTGCAGGAGCCCTTGATGCAGCAGCTCCTTGTCCACGGCTGACTGTGGGTCCAGGATAAAAACACCAAGGAATAGAACCTCGTGACCTACAGCACTACTGAAGTGGGAGCAGAGCCATCAGACATCCTCCTGCTGCCCTGGCACCACAGCTCTGTCACCCTCACCTTGAGCCGTGGGACTCATGGCTGTGCTGGAGTACAGCCCCTGTTCTGCAGAGCATCACAGCTTCCCCCCTGCTACCAGTGGGCAGGTGACCCTCTTTGGGGCAGGCAGACGCAGGCCACCACCTTCCTGTGCTGGTATTTTATATGGTGTGAACTACCAGAGCTGCCGCGAGCAGAAGCCATGGGATAAAGCAGCCTCCGGATGCACCCACAGAGTACCCTACTGCCAGGAAAGCCTTCAGGGTTCCTATGGAGCAAGCACAAGCAGCAATGCCCTATTAAGGAGTTCCAAGAGGTGGAAGGATGAGCAGTCAATGTGGGGGGAAAAAAGGATATAATGGAAAGCCAGAAAAGCAATCAGTTTTGGAAGAGGTGAAGGGCTCTGCCTGCCCCAGAGGGCATGTTGGGTGCACACAGGAGCCCATGGTGGTGCAGCCCACCAGCTGATGCAGCAAAACACCTCTTTTAAGCACTGGAGAACATTTGAAGCAGTTTGGAAGGAAGATCTTTGCATCCTCCATGAGGCATCCTGTTCGGTTTGCAGGGTGGTTTTTGCCACATGCAGTCAGGGGATTTGCTTCCAAATTGGAATGCAGTGCAGTCCCAGCTTGTAGCAGGATAGCTAAACCTTGCTGTATAGCTTTGCTTGCAAGCTGAGACTGAATGAAAGAGAGCTGACACCAGTGAAGTGCAACGCTTCTATTGGGGCAGATGTGGGTGCACACACCATCAATGCCTCCCTTTTCATTTCACTGCTCTTTATGGAGTCATTATAGACCAATTAACACCTTGGCCAAAAGGAGGAGAACTGAAAACACACCTCCTTGTTAAAGAGGTTAATAAAAAGACTGATCACATTCTTTAAAAGAGAAGTTGAACAGTATGCTTTCTAAAAACTGCATCAATTTAGCATATCTCCAAGGTGATTAAATGCACAAGACTCAGGAAACACTAAGGGCACATGCTCACTTCAGTATCTGACAGCATCCGGACTGAGATGCTTGAAACCAGAATCTTATTCTTTCTACTGTACAGCACAGTGTGTGTCTGAGATACTACCTAAGCATAACATTTAGGAAGGAGCATTTTCAAAGCAGGTTTAAGAGGGACAGCCGCAGAGGCCTCCCCCACATGTTCATCCCTCTCTTCCCCTGGGGAGAGCAGCCCATCACAGCCCACCCCACCGCAGCAGGAGCCTTCTTCCAGCTCACACAAACTCTCTCCAAGCAGTAAGGACAAGAAGCAGTGACTGAAGTGCTGCCAGATTTTGTTCTGTACAACAAAGGTGTATTTTTTTCTGTGAATTCTGGAGTCTCAGAATTAACTTAAATCTCATATTTTTAACCCGACAGCACTCCCATTGATACATGTTGGCATACAATCCACTGCTTTGTTAACCTGTCTGTACCAGAACTATACAACTAGGCACTACAATACTTGCATCTCTACAGATTTGATTTAATACTTTCAAAGTAACCCATTTTAGATTTAAAAAGGTCCAGTCAGAGATAACTTCAAGATTGTGCAGCCAGGAAACAGTAAATGTAGAAGAAGAACTTTTCCATTTCTTAACCCTCACAAGCATAAGCTGCTATTGAGAGACTTATTTCAGGCTTTAATATTACTAAATATTCTAAATCTAGAATCAATAACAATATATGCTCTAACAGAAATGATGCTCTTTTTTATATCTGTGGGGTTTTTTTTGAAAGCTTTATCTAAATTAGTTCTGGCAGACTAGAAAAATACTGGAATAAATACGAGACACCAAAAATCATCACACTCCAAACAAAGATCTAAATGAGGATCAAAAAATAAGTCCATCTCATCTGGCTGCCTACAGCCACCTTCCCTTCCTTCCCCACCAGGAAGGGAAACCAGTGCAATTTCAGAATCTCTCCCAAAATGGAATAATGTATTTAGACTCCAAAAGGTAGAAACCCCTCACAACATCAAGCATTTTTCACATAAGATAACAATAAACCTTTACTTAAAGATTTAAGCACACATGTGCACATACACAGAGAAAATCAAAGACCAAAACTGAAAAAAAAAAAAAAAAAAGCAAGGAAAGAATTAGAAATCTGGTAAACAAAATACTCCCACCAGCAAGGCACTGACTGCCAAACATCTCTGTCATGACTAGATGCAACTAAATGGAAGAGATAGTAAAGAAGAAAAAGGAAAAATTAAAGAAAACCAACATTGTGTGCACAAACACACACATGGATTCACACAAGATTTTATTCAAAACGGGCAGCCAGAAGGAAGGGGAAGTTTGAAGTCCTCTCACCGTTCCCATTCACCCAGGGCCACACAGTGCTTACCCACACCAGGAACGTGAGAACCAGGAACACACATTGTTAGGAAGGAGCTGAAAGATCACACAAAGCTGAACCTCAGACCACAGCCCCGTCCCCAGACAGGACTTCCTCTTTTTCTGCAAAAAGAGGCAGCAGAACTACCCGTGACTAGGAACTATTTTTATTTCTCAAAATAACTTTTACTGAAAACTTTTACAGGACAAAACAGCTTCCAAAGAGCTACAACGAACTGCCCAGTCTTCTGTGAAACACTAGGAAAGTGTTATAATTCAGGCTTGATTCCGGGTTTTGCAGCAAAGTTGGACAAGAGCACCCACTAAAGGAAAGTAACAACCCTGGCAATGCCCGTCCAGCAGAGGGTAATCCAGGAGCCACAGAAACCAAGAAGCCTGGCTTACTCTGATTCCGTAATTCAGGTCTCCAGAAGTCAAAGCGTTGTACACTTAGTCACTGTAGGTTGCATTCATTTTTTACAACACTAGTTATTACAGTTGGGAAAGTATTGACAACGGAAGATCACAAACAAGATGTTAACACAGTTCAAGGTGTTACCCTAGGAAACTATGTGGGAAAGATTCACGTAATGTCTGTCCGTAGCATTAAGTCAAATTCTTCTTTATGCTATCTAATATCACTTTTTTCCTACAGAAAATATTCATACAAGACATTCAAGTAAGATCTCAGAGCTTCTCAACAACAAAGGACTGGAAATGCTTTTTGGGACTAAGGATTTTTGTAAGAGAAGAGACAGAAGCAGAGTCAAGTCCTTTTGCAGCTGCCTTTCAGGCCAGTGCTTCTAGATCGCAACAGAAAAATGTGGGTTTCTAGGACGCACCGTCAGCACAAGCTTTACCAGCACAACAGGGCCAGCAGGGCTCGCTCACTGCCCTGAGTGGCTACCGCAGCAGCCCCAGCAGCGTGGGGCCACGGGCCAGCCCCGGCCCTCGCAGACACACAAGTAACAGTTCAGCTTGAAGTCCTGCACCCCAAGAATAAATACGGTATTGGCAGGAAACAAGCGGCTGTAAATATTTTATACAAGCTGCAGTCTTCCACTAAATGATGGTAAAGTGAGAAACAACTCCTCATCCCTGGACAAGCCAGGGAGCTCAGTAAATGACCCTCACTGGAGCCCGAGGCAGTTCTTACAGCCTAATGCCATCCTTCACCTGTCAAACACTTCTTTCTTTTCCCTGTTTTACATTCTAGCATTAAATAAAAGCCAGAATATCCGAGGCCAAAAGCAATTAGATAAACAGGAACAACAAAAAAGTATTTCTTGCCAAAAAAAGGCACTTTCAGAGACTTGGCAACGCAGCAGTGAGCAGATCCTCCACCCCAGAAGGAAGGGGATGTCCCAGAGGGACCAGCAGGTCCCTGTTCCCTGCGGCGGGGCTGCCAGAGACCAGCACTCCCCACCCCTGCAAGTCACATCTCAGATTTTTAAACAAACAAACAAGTCTACGTTATTGATCACCACCTTCAAGTTCAAACGCTTTCACTAACCACCGCACTTCCATTAAGGTCTTGGTAAACACATCTAACTATCCTTCAGGTAACAAAGCTCTGCCACAGAGGCTCCCATGACTGCACTTTGATCCACCTGGAAAATTTACCCGGGCAGAAATGAAAAGCACTGCCCCCTTGCCCAGGATCCCCAGGCCTCCCCCGTGACTAGGCTCCCCGTGCCACGGAATCCCAAGGGCTGGCAGAGCACCCCTGGGTGCCCCCGCCCCACCAGTCGGACTCGGGGCGCAGGACGGTCTCCCCGCACCGAGGGAGACCGGAGAACAAGCAGGAGAGAAGCGGTGCCACCCGCGACTCCCCGTTTCCACGGCCGCGCTTCACACACCCCGGTGACCCTAACCCCCCCGCCCCGGGGGTCTCTGTGGCGACGCGGGGAGAGCTCTGCAGGCCCGGGGGGGTCGGGTAAACCGTGGCCGGTGGGGCAGAGGGAGGCGGCCCGGCCGCCGGGAGGGAGCGAGACAGACAGGCCTGCGGCCAGCCCCGCCGCCAGTCACCGCTCCCGCCCGGTTCCACCCCCCACCGGGCTTTAAGAAGGCTCCCGTCAGG